TGTTTATAAATTATTGAAATATTCATTTAAAATCTCAAGGGGACTTCAAGAAAATAAGTTTTGTCAAAAGTGTTCAGCTGACAAAAAGTTTGGGAATCCCTGCTTTACAACAATGTCCAAATTGCTGCCATCTACTGGGCATGTCACCGCTTTACTATTTGTCTGTTTGTGAGGACTCATGGAATTATTTAAATATTAGATTACTCTGTGCAATTTTTATTGACATATGATTGGAAGATTTCATTGGAAGAGATGATAGTACTTGATAGTGACAACTCTGCTTACTGAGGCAAGGATGAGGGTTGTCAGGGAATGCCTCCTGGCCCTCCTCTGGCAGTTAGGTTAGGTGGTGTTTAAAATTGATTTAAAAAATAGACGATAAAGAATTAACTTGACGGAGCTCCATCGCAAAACACGTGGCAGCAACAAACAGCTCTTACAGTGTGTGTGTGTGTGTGTATGTGTATTTTAATATAAATAATGTATGAAATAAACGTTAAAGCAGAAATAAGAACGATGTAAATGGCATCTCTCATTCAAAGTCGCTAGCTCCCACTCTCTTTCTCTCTCTCTCTCTTCCAGCTCGTCCGTTCTCTGCATTGGATTGTGGGAAATAGTGCTTCAACGAGTGTACATCGGTTGTACTCTCAAAATAAAAATGCATTGTGGGTAAAAAGTAGTGAATAAATGTAGGTAATGAAGTGGACAGCACTACAAAATGGCTGACACCCGATATAGTGCACTATATAGTGGATAGGGAGTGGTTTCAGACAGCTTTTGTGTCAGGGAGTTCCTGGAATGTCACATGACAAGCCTCTTCTTCACCGTCTCACTATTGGACTGACGTGTATGTAGTGAATTTTGTGCCAATATTCATCAAACAAATCCAGCATTTTGCAAATAAACACAATCTGCTTTGCACAGAAAAACTCGACTTTCAAACAAACGCAAAGTGATTTGCAAATACAAAACTCTATTTGAGAGAAAATGCAGAGGTATGGACAAAAATATGTATATGTATTCTTACTATATCTATAATTAACCGTTTAGATGTTTTAACAAAGCGACCCTATACTACAATGTCAGTGAAATTCACAATAAGTGCTGTAAAATTGTTAACATGATTGATTAGTTCAAAAATCAGTAGTGACATGGCTAAACATTTAACTAGGCAGTCTTTCCCTATAAAAACCAATCCATTCTCCATACCTCTTATGCTCTGCTGGATCACGGGATATAGAATATATAGGCTACATATGTTGATACAATTGTTCAACAGACAAAACTAGATCAATCAGTAGTCAGTTCTCAGCCCCACACACACATGACTTCAAACCAACCACAACCACTGCTAAAACTCCCATCTTCTCCTTCTGTCCCCTCACTGAGGCAGAAGTATCTAAACTTCTCCTCTCCAGCCATCCTACAACATGCCCTCTGGACCCAGTCCCCTCACACCTTCTCCAAGCAATCTCTCCTACACTTTTACCAGCACTCACACACATCATCAACACATCTCTCCTCACAGGCACCTTCCCCACTGCATTCAAGCAGGCTCGGGTAACCCCACTGCTCAAAAAAACCTACATTAAACACTTCACTTACAGATAGCTACAGACCTGTCTCTCTTCTTCTATTCATAGTGAAAACCCTTGGAACGAGTTGTTTTCAACCAGGTATCATTGTTTCTTTCACAGAACAACAAACTGGATCCTAACCAGTCAGCGGATGGCAAAAGCTGACTCCAAATCATCAGTTCTTGTTTGCTGGATCTATCTGCTGCTTTTGACACTGTCAATCACCAGATCCTCCTGTCTGCACTCTCATCACTGGGCATCACAGTCTTTATTTATTCCTTACCTTTCTAGCTTGTACTTATTTGAACAATGCCTAAAACGTGGTATTACAAGCACTTCCTGTGTCTGTTTGCCTCTTTAAGAAGAATCGCTTTATGTATTCCCCAGTTGTAAGTCGCTTTGGATAAAAGCGTCAGCAAAATGACTAAATGTAAATGTCAACATTCAGAACAATGAAGGGGTATAACAATATATTGTGTCACAATATATAGTAATACTAAAATGCATAATACTTAAAATGCAAACCCTCTACTGAAAAGGGGTCGGGAGCACCAGCTCATTTGCATTTAAAGGGACAAAGACAAAAATGGCATGTTTTAGCTCATACCCTAAAATTGGCAACCTAAACAAGTGATACAAATTATCTGTAGGGTATTTTGAGCAAAAGCTTCACATACACACTCTGGGGACATCAGAAACTTATTTTACATCTTGTAAAAAGGGGCATAATAAGTTCCCTTTAAGACATTACTGCCACTATAACTTTTTAAGCTTAAAAAAGAGGTCAAATACCGAAGTTTGAGTCTTGCACCCTTTTAACTCTTACCCCGCTAGCGTTTTTGAAAAAAGTTGCCAGCCACTGCCACAAATTTTCACTAAAATTTCATGGCCCCCAGAATATTTTGTATAAATATCTGAACATGCAACACATCAAAATAAAGAACAGACCCTCTACTTTAAACAAAACAATTTATCTTAGCTTCAAGCATTATTTTTTTTATAAATACTTGAATGTAGGTAGGTTTCATAAAAAAATCACATTTTTATCAAATACTACATCTGGATCATATTCAGTAATATTATCAAAGCAAAGATGCAGTAGATGGCTTCCATCAGTACTCCCAAAGCTTGCACAGGCCACCACTTTCTGGATCCACATTTCATTCTGTAACAATAGGCGGTTTTCATTTATATGCTGTTTATTGTTTTTTGATCGACTGATTCTAAACTCATTCAGGAGATGCGTAATACCGCCCCCGAGCGTATAACTGCGAGAACATGAAACCCTGGAAAATTCTGTGTTTGGAGGGGAAAGAGTTAATGATACATAGTTTGTTGAGGTAATTACAGCAGCTTACATTAAAACTTATGTAAACAAAGAATATTTCAGTGCATCCTTGTGAAGGTTAACAGGTTAAAACTTTTTAGGATCCTTCAGGCCATTGTGCCGATGACCCATACTGAGTATTGTAAAGACAGTGACAGTGACGTGACGTGACATGTGGCCAAGTATGGTGACCCACACTCAGAATTAGTGCTCTGCATTTATCCCATCCAAAGTGCACACACACACCGTGAACACACACCCGGAGCAGTGGGCAGCCATTTTTTGCTGCGGCGCCCAGGGAGCAGTTGGGGGTTCGGTGCCTTGCTCAAGGGCACCTCAGTCGTGGTATTGAAGGTGGGAGAGAGCGCTGTACATTCACTACCGCCACCTACAATCCCTGCCGGTACGAGAGTCGAACCCACAACCTTTGGGTTACAAGTCCGACTCTCTAACCATTAGGCCACGACTTCCCCACACTAATGCATTCAGAAAAATACAGTATTTTACAAAAAAATTCAAAGTGGCTAATGGCCAAAATAGTCAATATATTTCTTCATCATGTCTGTTAGGACAGAATCTCTATGCAAGAAATGCTCTTGCGCTGCTGCTGTTGCACTTCTGGATCTGAAGATGATCTAGTTACTGTGATTGTGACCGTAGACTAGATAATTGATCAGACTCTGATGTGGTTTCCTAGTGTGAATCCTTTCATGAGTTCCCAGACTTTCATACAGATTATCTCGTTTTGCAGTGTGAATACTTGACAATTTTTTTTTTTCCCCAGTGCGACTTATCTGTTGCTTTTTCAGATAGAAAGCCTGAGCAGCTTCCTTCCAGTGTGAACTCTCATGTGAATCTTCAGGTGCTTCATCAGGTCTAAAAAAAACATTAAATCAAGTGAGATTTCAAATGAGAGACAAATGAGAAATGTAAAGTAAAGCCCAAAGTCAAGATCACTGATGAGTTCAATAGTCATTTTAATCCCATCAAATCTGGTTGACAACTGCTGTGCACGATTATGATTTAGTACGATTTTTACTTTTTTATAATGTCATGAAAACAATTTGTGTTATAAATCACTACTTTGGTCATGAAACTCTAGATGGCACAGGCTTGTCATGTAATCTGTAAGCAATCACAAAAGCCCCTTTCACACAGATTCCAGAAAGTACACTGATAATAGGTCGCTTTCACACCGTGTAGTTCTAGGAACTAGCCAGCAGGGTGGTTTCTAGAGAACCAATTTCCCCTTGGGCGGTTCTCCTGGTTGTATTCGCACTGGCAGCAGGAACTCTGAAGCAGCCGACCGTGACATCTTTATTCACGGCATTTTACAAACATCAACAACCAGTGAATGGAGGACGCTGTGATCGGAGTTGTTTTTGTTTTGTCTTTATGTTATGTAAACGCACAATTTACGCGATTGAGAGAGAGCAAGAAAATCTGTCTAAATCTCATGACAACTTGCAGTGTTACATATTACCGAGAGAACAGGTGAATGCCATTACAGCTGTTTTCCATGTTCCGTGGAGTAAATGTTTACATGGCTTTTTAAAAATGCAGGGTAGCCAGTGTTTCATGTACATGTGGTCAATCAGCACACACTGCGTCACTGGTAGTTCCTATAGAACTGTTTTAGACCCTACTCTGAAGTAGGAGCTAAATTAGTTCCCCCAAACTGAGTTCCTAGAACTAAAACCATTCCTAGTTCCTGTGGTGTGGACACGCCAAAAAGCATTAACTTCCGCCAATAGGTCTAGGAACTATGAAAAGGTTCCACCGGAACTCCTTTACACCATTGGTCCTGACTTTTGTTCACACAAAGCACGTTCCGAGACTGATCCTAGCAAACTCAATAGGTCCCCATCATCGGGATTGATCCCAAAATCAATCCCAGAATGTGTTTGCGTTCACACAGAAGGTACTCTAGTAAATCTATGGCATTTTTCTGGAATCAGTGATCTGTGTGAAAGGGCAATTGTTTTCTACATGGCACAAGTTGATTGGCCACTATGCTATGCATAAGTCAAAAAAATATGTGCGAATTAAGAAGGTAACTGGACGAACCTTTGCTCAAATAAATAGCAGTGATGTGTTTACTCCACTGCATGGATCTTCAGGTGTAGCTTCAGGTGACTTTTAAAAGAGAAACTCTTTCCGCACTGATCAAATGTGGTATGCGGCTTCTCTCTGCTGTGGATCTTCTCATGTGTTTTCAGATTTCCTAACTGACTGAATGTCTTGTCACAGTGTGAACACTTGTAAGGTTTTTCTCCGGTGTGAATCCTCTGGTGCAGTTTTAACTGTCTCGCTGTAGTAAAAGTCTTCCCACACTCAAAGCACAAGTACTCTCTCACATCAGTATGAATTTTCTGATGTACATGCAAACTCTGCAGCAGTGAAAAACTCTTTCCACATTCAGAACAGGAATGTGGCTTCCCCTTTGTATGAACTACCGGATGTGTCTTTAGACCTGATGACCAATGAAATGTTTTGCCGCACTGATCACACTTGAATGGCTTCTCTCCGGTGTGAATCCTCATGTGAGCAGTAAGACTGTGTTTGTTTGTAAAACTCTTCCCACACTGATCACACGCGTGTGGCTTTTCTCCGGTGTGAACTCTCATGTGTCCATTAAGGTGTGCTAATTGCGTGAAGCTCTTCCCACACTGATCACACGTGAATGGCTTCTCTCCAGTGTGAACTCTCATGTGACACGCAAGACTGTTTTTGTTTGAAAATCTCTTTTCACACTGATCGCACATGAACGGCTTCACTCCGGTGTGGATCCTCATGTGAAACACAAGAGTATTTTTGTGTGTGAAGTGCTTTTCACATATATCACATGAGTACGGCTTCTCTCCTGTGTGAATTCTCATGTGTACTCTAAGGTTTGTTGATTGTGTGAAACTCTTCCCACACTGATCACATGGGAACGGCTTCTCTCCAGTGTGAACTCTCATGTGAAGCCAAAATTCATAGAGAAAAATATTCAAATGAGTCCTGATGTAATAGCAGAAACAAGACAGCTGCTGTAAAATATTATGATTCTGGTGCGTTTTTATAAATTAATTGAATGACTGAGGCACAAATGTAATTTTTTTGTAGTGACTACTATCAATCATCTAATGTTATGATGAAGGGACCAAACAGATCTCGCCCCCCATTTACTTCCATAGCAGGAAATATAGTAGAAAAATAAATACTATAATAGTCATTGGGGGGGGGGGG